CAGAGAAGCTTTTACACAGAGCAGCTTTTACGCACAGGTATTCTTATATATACATAGAAATATTTTTTCTATATAGACGCCTTTATATACAGACTTTTTTTTACAGAGAAGGAATATATATATATTATACCGATACTTTATAATGAGATACTTCTGCGCTTAAAAAATGTATATAGGTATTTTAACTAAAAACATGAAAAATATACACATAAATAAATTGCATAAAAGAATGCATGCCGATTCTTTAACGCACAGAATTTTTTACCCAGAACGATTTTTACCAACCAAAAACTCTTCCGCACAGAAGCCTTTACGGTCTTTTTTTAACAATAGATAGCAATTACAGACAGATGATTTTTACACAGCAAATTCTCCGCACAGAAATCTTACATACAGAAGGATTTCTGTGCATCTTTTTTTCCAGACAAACTTTTAATCCCCAGATAGCTTTACACGGAAAAGGAATTGCACACAGAAACTTGTGCACACAGCACATTCTGCTTTTATACAGAGAGGTTTTACTTCCCCTTCTTGATCACTTGTTTTTCGTGTTCCCCCTTTCAAATATTTGGTTTGCGATTTCCTTCAATACGCGCTCTGGTCCTTATCTTGGAACAATGTAGTAACTATTTCCTCTTCGAGGTAATAAAGATAAAGAATTCCCGCTTATTTTTTGCAACCAGCTCTGTTGGCGATTGCTTCAGCCGCGAAATCGCCAAACGTGCGCGGCGCTTTTTGTCGGCCGTAAAATTGGCACTGGATTTTTTATACCCAATCTCCAGGGTTTTCTTCCAGCAACTCCACAGTAGGCTCGATCACACAATTTTCATCGCCCGGGGAATGGAAAAAGGCACGCTCCACATCTGCCAGATAAGCACTGAACACTCGGTTTCAGTGTGAGGATTTGACCCCACCCTCCCATCCAAAATCGAGAGGACCTTTTCCACAGTCGCTGCCAAATTGCTGGGTCATGCCAACATGTCATATGGCATCTGCCCATCTTTGAATTTGATCAGCTGGTTCCATCAGCTTATATTTCAACAAGCTGCGCCAGCTCAATCCCTCCCCATCCCATAGGGACAGGGTGGGTGGGAAAAGAAATTTCCAGGTCAAGGCCTACATCTCAGGCCTTGAGCCAAAATGGCATGGCCACCAACCCATGCCTCACTTCTTCACCTATGGTGTTTGTCGATACCTGTGGTCTCTCTCAAACACTCGGTTTCAGTGTGAGGATTTGACCCCACCCTCCCATCCAAAATCGAGAGGACCTTTTCCACAGTCGCTGCCAAATTGCTGGGTCATGCCAACATGTCATATGGCATCTGCCCATCTTTGAATTTGATCAGCTGGTTCCATCAGCTTATATTTCAACAAGCTGCGCCAGCTCAATCCCTCCCCATCCCATAGGGACAGGGTGGGTGGGAAAAGAAATTTCCAGGTCAAGGCCTACATCTCAGGCCTTGAGCCAAAATGGCATGGCCACCAACCCATGCCTCACTTCTTCACCTATGGTGTTTGTCGATACCTGTGGTCTCTCTCAAACACTCGGTTTCAGTGTGAGGATTTGACCCCACCCTCACATCCAAAATCGAGAGGACCTTTTCCACAGTCGCTGCCAAATTGCTGGGTCATGCCAACATGTCATATGGCATCTGCCCATCTTTGAATTTGATCAGCTGGTTCCATCAGCTTATATTTCAACAAGCTGCGCCAGCTCAATCCCTCCCTTGACACCGTCGCGCAGCGCATGCAGTGATTTGCATTTCTGGCAGCAACTGATGTGGAGCTCCTTGAAGCGTGTGAGTTCCACTCTTGCATTGTTTTTGGCAAAATGCCACCCGCACATAGTTGACCATTCTGAGACTGCTAGTCCCCAGGATGCTTTCCTCACTCGATGAGCGACTTTGCCTCGGCTGCTTATTGAGATCGCCCACAAAGGCTTCTTCGAAGCGTTCTGGGACTTTATCTCTAAGCCCCTTACCACAGGCGGTTCGCCTTCACCTGTAGGTGCATCCTGTGCGGCTTGTTGGGCACTGTGGTTCCCTTGCCTCACCGGGTCGTTGATTGGAAGTTCAGCCATGGCCTCTTCCATATAACGGAACACTGCCGCGCTCTTCCATCTCCCAAGGAGCATCAGGTCTGCCAAGCTCCATGTCTCCCTCGTGTAGAACATGGCACCTGATCTTCTCGCAGAGTGGCCCGACATTCCATGGTCGATGTTAGCTGCCCATGCTTTGACAAGTTGGTAACGGGAAACTCTGTCTCCACTGCCATCAGCAATCAGAGGTTCTCGGTCTCCTTCGCCAGCCATATAGGTCTTCACTTTCACCGAAATTCTCCAAGGGCAAGTCGACCTACATGGTTTGACTCCACAGCACACCAGGGTTCGCTTGATGCCTTTTCTACCCTGATCCATCTTGGACTTTTGAACTGACAACGACACTTTCTTGTTGTCCAGATCAAGGTCCAGATTGGCGTTGTCTAGTGCGACCACCTCTCCGCTCCTCAGCATCCAGACGGGCGCAAAGACGTATGCCATTTTTGGGAAAGCTGGAGCGTTCTTTCCGATCTTCGCCACAACACTCGGGTCTTCCACAGTGATCTCCTCGGGCTTTACCTCAATGGCTCTCCTGTCTGGGCCTACATCCCTTCTCAAGGCCCTCTTTATCATAGCCAGCTGTCTTTCCAAAACTTCATCCCAAGCCCAACCAGCCTCCAACTGCATGAGCTTTACCTCGTTGATGTATTGCTCTCCAGTCTTGAGGTTGCATTCACTGAGGATCGCCCCCACCAGCTCCAGTTCCTCCGTCTCCAAGGGGAAGAATTGGCCATCCCCCTTCACCTTGGTGAGTATTTCACATAGTCTCCTTCGCTTGGACGCTTTGCTCGCTAAGGTGGACTTTGCGAACATCTTGCCCCTAAGGTTCGAGACGGCCTTCCTCCTCCAGTCCTTAAAGGCCACCGCTCTTGCGATGCCGTCCCAATTCAGCTTCTTCGCTTTGTTACTATTGGGCTGGCTGCCTCTAGCATCTTTGACACCACCGGCGTGTTCTTTGGGAACCCTGCCTTTCCCGTTTTGCTCACTGGGCTCTGGCACTCTCTTGGTTCCGCTGCCTCCTTTGCCCGTCTTCTGGCCGCCGACGATTTCGGGCTGATAGACCTGCGTCGATCGGACCCCCGTGTCGCCTCCCCTGAGTGACCAAGGTTGCCATCCTCCTTTGCCGGAGAGGTGAATTCCGGGCTTCCAATCTCCTCGGGTGATTTGGCCTTCCACCATTGCCGCCGTAGCGATATGTTGTTTTCTGCCCAGATCACCATGTTGAACTTTGCCTCCGAAGGGCTTGCCTCCTCCCTTTTCCCATGTGGTTTGTGTTTCCTGCCCTTGCTCCACCAACTGGTGCCCCAATTCACCCATGAGCGGAGCCAGCAGCTTACGCCTCTCACCACTCTTTGGCATAGCCGCGGAAGCCATTGTCCGTACCACGCTCCAACCAAGAACCCCAATGCCAACGTCCCGACCCAATACTTGAGGATCCATAGGGGACTTTCAGTGGCCTTCTTGGGCTCGGTCAGCTCGAGAGAGCTCTGCAGCACGAGCGACATGGCCGCGGGCTTGAGTGAAAAACGCCTATCCATGGGAAGCAGTTGCACACCGCTTCAAGCAAACTTCACTCACAATATTTAAAAGAAAATAAAACAAAAGTTTTTTTTTCAAACACCACTGTCCCTGCGCCCTCCTGACACTTCCATTTGCGACTGTTTCACTCCGAGCCGCCTGCAATGAAAGTGTCTGCAGGCACCAAGTCCCCGGCCCATTCTCCATGGCCCTCCGCACCAGGAGGGGTGAGTGAAAATAATTCCTTACACGTGTGGCAAGGTGCAAGACGAAAAATCTTCACTCCTTCCAGGGACTTCGGCTTGTCTCCTCGGTCGTGCATTCTGCTGAGCCAATCCGTCTCCTTGTTGTCAGCGCCCCGCAGATGCTGCACGACCACCCGCTGCATGCGATGCAGCTCAAGCATCAAGGAGATCTCTGCCGCCAGGTAGTTGAGCTGGGGCGATGAGCTACCCGTCTTCTTCGTGACCCCCAACGCTACTGTCGAATCACTCCGTAGCAAGATTAGACGTCCTTTGAAGATCGAGGCCCATTTGTGCAGTCCTCGGAGTACTGCCAGCGTCTCAACTACACTTTGGGAGGATGCCTCACCGTACTCCACTTTCAGCATCTTTGCGTCCTCCGGCTTGAACTCTGCCTCGAAAGCCTCAACGATTTCGAATGCAGTGCCGTCCATGGTGAGACGGATGAGCATGCCTCCCAACCCCCATGGGCTTGCGTCCGTGACCAGCCCGTACTGGATCTTCTTCTCGACAAACGGCTCCGCCCTGAACAGCAGGATGTCCTTCCTCTGCATCAGCTTGCACAGCCAGTCAATTGGGTTCTTGAGGCGCTTGTAAGGCACCAGCCCTTTCTTCGGCCTGGTGTCTGCCCGCTTGGATGCCCTCATGTCCTCCAGGCCCTCTGCCTCGTCTCTCAGCACCGATGTCATGGTGCCGTAGAGGGCGTTCACCACCCATTTTGCTCTGGGCACCACCCCTGCTATCCAGCTCAACTTTCCTGTGATCTTGCGGACATCACGTAAGGGCACCATACCCATCTGTGGCCACTTCTTGACTTCGGCTTCGATCTCCTCCAGCATCTTTGCCTGAATCCCAATCATGAGTTCTGCTTGTTGAAGTTCAAGCGTGGTGCCTATCCACTTCACTCTGGATCCCCGCTCTCCTTTTTCCAACGCAATCTGCACCCCCAAGATTCGGAGGATGTAGAGCACCATGGCAAGGACGTGGTTTCGATGTTTGCGGGGCCCTCGCAACACCAGGATGATGTCGTCCATGTAGATCTGCGATGTCATCTCTGCTGCTGACACCATAGACTGCAGGACCCTTCCAATTGCCGAAGCCAGCCTGCCCATGTGCAGCGGGGCCGCCTTGTAGCCAAAGAGCATTGCCGGCCATACCAATGCTCCCACCTCTGCTTCGTCTGGCGTGACGGTGTGTCGCCATTCCCTGGGGTCTATGGCGAGGTGGCAGAATGCATCCCTCAAGTCAATCATGACGAACTCTAACTCGTCCCAGTTCTCCAGACCCTTGTCACCATACCTTTTGTAAAGGATTCCTTTAAGGTCTTCTGATCTTGCTATCATGCCTCTGATCCCCTGCGCCAAGTCTTGGATCCTTGGTAAGGTGATCCTTTCGCTCACTCTGCAGCGGGCGTTTCCCTGTGATCTCCTCATGTCGATCACGATCCTGCGCTTCTTTCCTCCGTCTGGGCGGTCCTTGATTATCAGCGCCATCTTTGAGCAAGTGCCTGAACCAAAACGCTCTTGCACTTCCTCCCAAGTCTTCCTGACAGCGAAACCCTTCTCGAGGTATCTCCTGATCTCGATGGTGGCGTCTTCCTTGTTTTCAGAGACGCTCTTGTAGTTCGACGTTTCCTTCAACACCGAGAACTCTACCTCCGGGATTTCTTCCGGGTCCTTGATGCCCAAAACCTTCGGGAAGATGCCCCCGGTGTCCGGGATCTCCAACTCCATGCCCATGGGGACCCCGTTCTTGATGTGTCTCGGCAGGTAGACATCAGGGTCCCTGCTCCTTCTCTGCCATTCCTTCCAAGAGCTCATAGATCAGCGGTGACGTGAACTCCTCAGGCTGCTTCAAGATCACCTCCTTGTCCTCGTCTCGCATGTTCCACATCTTTTTGACTCGTCTCTCCCATTCCTCAACTCTCACCTGCAAGAACTTTGCCTCCTCTGAACCATAAGCGCAAGCTACGTCCACGATGTCCCATTCCTCCAACTCGAAGGCGTTCCATTCCCTTCTGAGTTGATCTCCAACTTCTCGCACCATGTGAAGTCTTGCAACTGCTCTGGAGGGATTTCTCATGCCGCCTATGGCTTCCTGATTCTGCATCTCCTTGATCTCCTTGTTGGATGCTCTCCTTGAGGACGAAGGGATGTACTCCTTTTCGGTGTCTCCCGCAGCCAACGCTCTTGTCAAGGAGTTTGCAAACTTCTTGTCTGACTCCTTTGTCTCCTGTGGTTTGTCGAACCGCTTCTCTTCGTTCAGCAACCACTTGTGTTGTAGCGACGATACTGCCTTGGATTGTCTGACAAGTTGGAACCTCCAAAACTCCAGTTTGACGGTCCTCTTCCATCCCGCCACCACGAGCTTTGCCACGGCCTCACAAAGTTCGTCTGGGTACCTGCCCGCTTTGACGGTCTTGGCTTTGCCCACCAGTGCCTCATGAATGATCCATGAGGGACAGCGGCAGACCTTGCTCAGGGAAGGTAGTCCTTCCAGTTTCCCTGCCCACATCGCAGGTTTGAAGTGGCGCACCTTGAGTCTTTGCTGAAAGGCGCACGTGTTGAAAGGCACCTTACTCGCACCGATCTTCTCCAAGGTCTGCTTTATCTCCGGCAACTCCCATGCAGGTCCACACCTATCGTCACCTGGAGGGTTCTCTATTGTCGCCGCTGTGGGAACTCGACGGGCCATGTCGGACTCCACCTGTGCCTCCATGAGCCAGCCGCTTTGTGCCGCCATGAGAGTACCTCTGTCTGCTTCTGCTTGACGTTCTGGTGGGTTCGAGCTGAGGCCATAGATCTCTGCGGTGGACCTCACAGGTGGCGGGCCCGGATTTTTCGACCACCTTGCAATTGAAAAGGAGCCACACGGGAATCCCGCGTGCATTCCATCGTACACGCCCTCCTTGACCTCCTGGCACAGGCCCCGATGTTGTTCCACGCTGCTCATGTCGACCTTGCCATCGATCAGCTTGTCCAGCGACTTTATCTCGCACTTCAGACGCTCCTTCTCCGCCTCAAACTTTATCGCCTTTCCCAACACATCTTCTGGGCCTGAAAACACATGCAAATAGGTGAAAACTCTTTTCTGCCTGTATTCATCAAAACTATTGGACTCCTCCAGAGCCTTTTTGACTTGTTCAGGAGGTTTTGCATCCGGCAGCTCCTTTGTCGCCTTCTCTACGTTCATCTCCGCTTCGGCCATCACCGAGGGGTCCTTTGTGGGCGACTCCAGCTTCTGCCTCTTTGCCTCAGGCTCCTGAGGGCTCGCGTCGGCGCTTTGGCCTGGGTCTTCATCGCCGCCCCAGTCCACGCCAAGCTCACCCTCGGGATTCATGCTTGAGCGGAAAGTTCCTGTGACATTGAGCATGAAACGTCACACATAACCCTCCCCCAAGAAACAAACGCTCAACAAGAGTCCAAAAAAAATCAACATGCAAACTCCAACAAACTTCCAACGTTTTTTTTCCATCTTTCAAGGTCATGCTTTGCAGTCCTTGTCTTGGTGAGACGGGCTCAAACACTTCCTACACTTATGAGCCCTCTTTACAGCTCCTTTGCACTCTCCTCCAGGTGGAACGTTTGCACAGCTCCCACTATTGGATGCCCAGCTGAAGCACAATGGAGCTCCCGCTTGATCTTTGCTTTTCGACTTGCCCTTGCCCTTCGACGGTGGGGCTGGTCTGTCATGAGCTCTCTCGTTTGCCGCCTTGATGTTCTTTAACTCCTGAAGGTCCGCTTGAACCCGTTTGCGCTTCCTGATTCTTTTCTCCTTTCTGATCTCCCGACCTCCGTGCGCCTTGTCCTCCTCGGAGTCCTCCTTCAGGCCGGGGAACTGTGATGTGACGGCTGCCTCACCAGCCACAACAGGGACACCTCTGCCTCCCGCCGCTAGCCACGATGATGCAGGTACATGCACCTTCTCTGACCAAAACTTCTCATCCCCAATCACCGACAAAAACACGCATGACCAAGGGTCGTTGGCATCCCAATCATTCGGCACCTGTCGACCCCTTCCTTGCTCAAGCGTCCAATGCCTCCTCCATTTTTCCAACTTCTCTGCCCTTGCGGTGTCGTCCGCACTGTAAATCAGCCCCCAACACTGCGGCCACTGTGTCACCAGCTTCTCAATGTGACGGTAGTAGGCTTCCACGGCTGCCAGACTGCAAATCTTCAACATGAGTGCTGCAGCCCTGAAGACCCTCCAACTCGCCGACCAAGCCATAAAGTTTCCCGGTCCCGGCAAGTCCCTCTGCAAGAACTGACCATTTCCCAACGGAGTGAACACCCTGAAGCGATGCGACTTTGCCGCTCTCCTCTCAAAAGGTGTCCACACCGCAAAATCCACGTATGGAGCCGCCAGCAACTTTACCACGCGTTTATTCAAAGCTGCAAGTTGATTCGCCGTTGGTTCCTCTACATCATCCGGCATAGCACCCATCACCATGACAAAGTTTTGCGTCCAAATGTGGGTCTCCTCCAATGTAGGGGGCATCAGCTCAGATTCATCGCTCTGATCAATCAGTGAAGCCATTTTGAGTACATGTTCTTTAACTCCCGTAGACCCTGGCTTTGCCACCGTAGGAGCACTTCCCGTTTCTTGAGGGGCCCATGGATCCACATCGATGAACTGTGCCTCGTCCATTCCTGAGTTCATTGCTGTCACCCTTCTCGCCGTTCGCCAGCATAACCCCACCTGGGTCGCCTCCACAGGATTAAGTGGTGCACCGTCTGCCTTTATAGTTTGGCCGACAGCTGCGACCACTGCCACCGCCGGCAGTGCTGCCAGTACACGAAGATCGTTGCCAAGGGGACCTATGTGATGTAGCCATCCATTCCATGCCTCGTCACTGATGCCAACGTCGGCCAAAACGTCCCCAACCGTCTGGAACGTTGCCAAGTTATTCCATGGCCTAAACATCAGCGACTCGCGAGCGGCCTGAATTTCTCAAAAGAAATTTCCAGGTCAAGGCCTGCATCTCAGGCCTTGAGCCAAAATGGCATGGCCACCAACCCATGCCTCACTTCTTCACCTATGGTGTTTGTCGATACCTGTGGTCTCTCTCATAGTACGGATGCTTGGCCAATAGCAGATCAAGTACTCTCGAGGTATGACCGATGTGGTCATCCCGAAAATATTAGGACGACGGGATTATTGTCACCGATATTACCTTGTAACAAATCTTGACCTCACGATCTATTCTCTATTCTTGTATTTTGGGACTTCTTCCCAGCGATTGGTCGCATATTTTCCTTTACCTTCATATTTTTTTTGAAATGAAAACTTCGTAGGATGCGAGGCGGCTCAGCTCCTTGGCATTGCCCTTTCGCCTTTCCTCCGTATTTTTTCTCTGTCTATTTCTCGCTGGACCATTTGTCAGGGTATCCATTGCTCCCTTGATTGGCTCCTGTATTTTCATTAGGATGCGTAGCTTTCTTCAGGCAACTTACGCGTCGCCGCATCTAAGTATTCAAAGGTTTGGAGGACTCCCTTGGCCTTATTATATTGCTCAAATTCAATTCAGGGGCCAAGAGCTTCCGCAGGAATGGAAAGCTCTTTCTTGGTTTCCATGGGCAGAGCAGGGGCCTGACAATTGGTGGGATTCGTGACCAAACCCTCATTAATATCATTACCTCCTTTCTTCTGCCCTGAGGTTGTGTCTTCCATGAACGCAATTTCTGCAGATGGGAATTTTTCCTGGACATTTTCCAATCTTGGTATCTTAATTGCCTCTGCGGCAGAGTAGGCTCGCTATTTGCGCCCTCTAGTAGCTGTCCCTCTTCAATATGGGTTCTCCGTGACCCATCCTTCTGTTGTATTGGCTCGGGGGCCGGACTTGCAAAATGGACCATTACCTTTCTAGGACTCTTGGACGGCTATATATAACGGCCTCCAAGGTCAAATTCCCTGGGACTCGATTGATCTCCGCAAGCATCTGCCATCGCTGGACATCCCGAAGCATCCCAATCAAATATTTTAACTTTTTTTAAAGCTTCGTAAAAGGGTAGTGATCTTGGAGAGCGTACGCCGGGTGACGAGTGCAGATGCACGTGGTGACGGACATGCGTACGACCCAGCGTACGTGTAAGCGTACGAGTGGACGGACGCGTGACGCACGAGTGGACGGACGTGTGTGTACGAGTGGACGGACGTGTGAGCGTACGTACGTGCGTTGACACGTTCACTCGTCACGTGCGCCCGCACGTACGAAAATAAGGTCGACTCGAGTCGACTTACATATTTAGTATTGGGAAGATTCAGACGTGCAGAAGTAAGGTCGACTCGAGTCGACCTTATTTTCGTACGTGCGGGCGCACGTGACGTGACGAGTGAACGTGTCAACGCACGTACGTACGCTGACACGTCCGTCCACTCGTACGCACACGTCCGTCCACTCGTACGTCACGCGTCCGTCCACTCGTACGCTTACACGTACGCTGGGTCGTACGCACGTCCGTCACCACGTTCATTTGCACTCGTACCCCCTACGTTCACTTTTTGCCTAGAGGCTTGAAAAACACCTTTTACGAGACTTTAATTTTACATTTTTTTCTCGATTTTTTCTTCGACTGGGCGGGGTAAGGTTTCATGATAAACGCAACCTCCCTAAATGGGTCATCCTATGAATTAAAGCTACAAAATTTGTGACCTTGTGCCCGCAATTCTTTGGTCACTTTTACCCTTATGCTTTTTGAGTACTATTCGTAGCTTTCACAGGCAAACTTGAATCAAATATGCTCTTTAGAATCCTTGTTATCATGATTAAACTATACTATATCAATTATTCTTAGCAATAGACCATATAATTTAGGCAGTTACCCTATTTTCTTTAGAGCCTTTGGGGGGGTTCGTGTTCTGTAAAACGGGTTCCCGTGTTCTGTAAAAAGGGCTTTCGTCGTGTTCTGTAAAAAGGGTCTCGTGTTCTGTAAAAAAGGATCTCGTGTTCTGTAAAGAGGGTTCCTCGTGTTCTGTAAAAAAGGGCCTCGTGTTCTGTAAAAAAAGGCCTCGTGTTCTGTAAAAAAGGGGCTCGGGTTCTGTAAAAAAGGATCTCGTGTTCTGTAAAAAAGGGGTCTCGTGTTCTGTAAAACGGGGTCTTGTGTTCTGTAAAAAAGGGCCTCGTGTTCTGTAAATACATACGGTTACATATGTAATCTTTTTGCAGAACAAATGTTACAGAACACATCTAGATTTTTGACAATGTGAAATTTTTACAGAACAAACGTGAAATTTTTACAGAACAAATGTGATTTTTTTTACAGAACAAATGTGTTTTTTTACAGAACAAATGTGATTTTTTTACAGAACAAATGTGTTTTTTTACAGAACAAACGTGAAATTTTTACAGAACAAATGTGATTTTTTTAACAGAACAAATGTGTTTTTTTACAGAACAAATGTGATTTTTTTACAGAACAAATGTGTTTTTTTACAGAACAAATGTGATTTTTTTACAGAACAAATGTGATTTTTTTTACAGAACAAATGTGAAATTTTTACAGAACAAATGTGATTACAAGCTAAATGGAGCATTTGTTCTGTAAAAAATAACATTTGTTCTGCAAAAAAACCACATTTGGTCTGTAAAAAATTCACATTTGTTCTCTGGAAACTCACATTTGTTCTGTAAAAAAAACATTTGTTCTGTAAAAAAAACACATTTGTTCTGTAAAAATAACCACATTTGTTCTGTAAAAAAATCACATTTGTTCTGAAAAAATCACATTTGTTCTGTAAACAAATCACATTTGTTCTGTACAAATTTCACATTTGTTCTGTAAAAAAAATCACATTTGTTCTGTAAAAATTCACATTTGTTGAGTAGAAGTTTCACATTTGTTCTGTAAAGATTCACATTTGTTCTGTTCAAATTTCACATGTGTTCTGTAAAAAAAATAGATTTGTTCCCTAAAGATTTTCCATTTGTTCTGTACAATATTCACATTTGGCCTGTATAAGAAATACATTTGTAGTGTAAAAAGTTTATTTGTTCTTTTTTTAAAAATACTTTTGTTCTGTTAAAAAATTGAAATGTGTTCTGTATAAAATTCTACATTTGTCCTGTACAAAAATCTAAATTTGTTCTGGAAAGCAACCTCTTGTACAAACAAAAACTTGTATGTGTGCTAACAGAACACGAACCCAAAAATAACAGATCACGAGAGCAAAAATAACAGAACACAAACCCAAAAATAACAGAACACGAGCGCAAAAATAACAGAACACGAGCGCAAAAATAAGAGAACACAAACCCAAAAATAACAGAACACGAGAGCAAAAATAACAGAACACGAGCGCAAAAATAACAGAACACGAGAGCAAAAATAACAGAACACAAACCCAAAAATAACAGAACACGAGAGCAAGAATAACAGAACACGAGAGCAAACATAGCAGCACACGAGACAATGCAAAATGACAAAAATAACAGTACACAATGGTCTAAAGAGACCTGCCAAAAACGTGTTAGAGCAACACCCTAACATATAATGTACCATGACTATAGTCATTCACATGCATTTGGTACTAAAATAATGTCGGGAATGAAGTCAACAAATCTTCTGTCAATATCATACATCATATTCTTATATATGCTTATCCTTTTTGAACGGCATCTGAATTAAAGTACGAAGAATGCAGTATTACTCTGGTTCACTGTCTGATGAATGCAAGCGCTCCTGCGGTTGGTCGTTGGCAGTTAGGTCTAAGAAGGAAATTCTTGACATGCCGCTATTTTCCGCGAAAACATGCAGGACAAATCGAACCACATTGAATCACAGCAGGGCCTTGAAATTCGGCGAAGTCTCCTGTATGCTATCCTCTGAAGAGAGGCGGTGGCGAGCTCGGGTCTTCATGCCCTTCATGCCTGTGAGGGCGATGGCAAGAGAGCTCGTCACGAATCATGAAGTTGAATTGTGATTCTACTCTTGGCCACTTTGTACAAACATGTACAAACATGTACAAACTTTCCGATTCACCAGGCGCCTTTCCGGCAGAAAAAGCAACCGACCACTGCTCCAGCCAGTAGCACAATGATCAAAAAATTTGTCCCGAATAAGAACCTGAGCCAAAAGCACCCACAAGCAATGTACAATAGGCTGGACATAGGCTTTGTGCCCTTTTCCTGAAATGCATTTGCATGCGTCGCAAAGAGATGACATGGTGCTGCAAAGGCTCTGTGACAACGGGTTGGAATCCTTCTTTGAAGAGTCCTGGATCATATCTGGGCCTTGGTGGTGCAGGCTCGAGCAACCTCAACAATGACGTCAGCACCAATGCGCTGAACCATCGCCTAACACAGTCTCCAAGTAGTCATGCATGCACCAACATGCAAAATATACCAGTAGTACCGCGCAAGGCAGTGGCGGAAGTTTCAGTGATAGGAGGAGAGGTGAGTTGTTGTGATGCATGGATGGCAGAGCGAATCCACCTATGGACCGAAAGGTGGTCGGAGTTGTGCCTGTTGAACTGGTTGCAGCGGTCGCCTCAACCACAATTGCTGGATGTAGCGTGGTGTAGTGTAGTGCAATATAGATGTAGTTGCAGTTGCCGTTGTAGTTGCGGTTGTATTGTAAATAGTGTAGTTGTAGTTGTAGTTGTAATGATGTAGTTGAAGCCGCGGTAGTAGCTGTAGTTGTTGTAGCTGTAGTTGTTGTAGCTGTAGTAGTAGTAGTAGTAGTAGTAGGTAGTAGTAGTAGTAGTAGGTAGTAGTAGTAGTAGTAGTAGTAGGTAGTAGTAGTAGGTAGTAGTAGTAGGTAGTAGTAGTAGGTAGTAGTAGTAGTAGTAGTAGGTAGTAGGTAGTAGGTAGTAGTAGTAGAGGTAGTAGGTAGTAGGTAGTAGGTAGTAGGTAGTAGGTAGTAGGTAGTAGGTAGTAGGTAGTAGGTAGTAGGTAGTAGGTAGTAGGTGGTAGTAGGTGGTAGTAGGTGGTAGTAGGTGGTGGTAGGTGGTAGTAGGTCGTAGGTAGTAGGTGGTAGGTGATAGTAGGTAGTAGTAGGTAGTAGTAGGTAGTAGGTGGTAGTAGGTGGTAGTAGGTGGTAGGTGGTAGTAGGTAGTAGGTAGTAGGTAGTAGGTAGTAGGTAGTAGGTAGTAGGTAGTAGGTAGTAGGTAGTAGGTAGTAGGTAGT